CAAAGAGGAAGTAGTTTCTATAATGCGTAACTTTTCAAATATAGAGAAAGAAGGAATCCTACCCAACATATCCTATGAAGCAGACATCACCCTGATCCTCAAACCAGAAAAGGACCCAACAAAAAAAGAAAACTATAAACCAATATTATTAATGAATATCAATGCAAAAATATTCAACAAGATGTTAGCAAACAGAATACAACAACACATTAAAAAGGTTATACACCATGATCAAGTGGGTTTTATCCCAGAGACACAAAGTTGGTTCAGCATACACAAATCTATAAATATAATACACCACATTCATAGAATCAAAACAAAGACCATATGATTCTTTCAGTTGATGCAGAAAAGGCTTTGACAGTAGCCAGCATCCTTTCATGATAAAAACACTCAAGAAAATAGGCTTAGAAAGAACATTCCTTAAGCTGATAGAGGCTATCTACAGCAAACCCACATCCAATATCATAATGAATGAAGTAAAACTGAAAGCACTTCCACTCAAATCTGGAACCAGGCAAGGATGCCCACTGTCTCCACTGCTATTTAACATACTGTTGGAAGTCCTAGCTGTCACAATCAGGCAAGAGAAGGAGACCAAAGGAATCCAAATGGGGACAGAGGAGGTCAACTTCTCCCTTTTTGCATATGACATGATCTTATACCTGGAAAATCCCAGGGACTCAACTACAAAGCTCTTAGAAGTGATCAAGGAATATAAGCAATGCCTCAAGTTGCAAAATTAATGCCCAGAAATCAGTAGGTTCTTATATGCCAATTGTCAAGCCAAGAACAAAATCAAAGACTCTATTCCTTTTACAGTACCACCAAAGAAGATGAAATACCTGGGAATAAATCCAACAAAATATGTGAAAGATCTCTATAAAGAGAATTATGAAACTTTGAGAAAGGAAATAGCAGAAGATGTCAACAAATGGAAGAACATACCATGCTCATGGCTGGGAAGATTCAACATCATTACAATGTGCATATTACCCAAAGAAGTCTTTTGATTCAGTGCAATCCCCATCAAAGCACCAATGTCATACTTTAAAGATCTTGAGAAAATAGTACTTTGATTCATATGGAACCAGAAAAAACCCAAATGACAAATACAGTTCTTAGAAAAACCATTCTGGAGACATCACATTGCCAGACTTCAGGTTATATTACAAGGCAATAGTGATCAAAACAGTATGGTACTGGCACAAAAATAGAGACATAGATCTATGGAATAGGATAGGGAATCTAGAGGTGAACCCAGCCACATATTGTCATTTAATCTTTGCTGAGCCTAACAAAAACATGCAATCGGGAAAAGAATTGTTATTTAAGAAATGGTGCTGGGAGAACTGGTTATCCACATGCAGAAGACTGAAACTGGAACCATACCTCTCACCACTGACAGAAATTGATTCTCATTCTCATTGGATAAAAGATTTAAATTTAAGACACAAAACAATAAAGATTCTAGAAGAGAGTGTGGGGAAACACTTGAAGATATTGGCCTGGGGAAAAAACTTAATGAGGAAGACTCTTCTAACAATTGCAGCATCACCAAAAATAACGGAGACTTGATCAAGCTGAAAAGCTTTTGCACAGCTAAGAGTACCACAAACAGAGCAAACAGACAGCCCTCAGAATGGGGGATTTTTGCATTATGAATCTGACAAAGGACAGATAACTAGAATCTACAGAGAACTCAAACAATAAGAAAAGTGCAAACAACCCTCTCTAGAAGTGGGCAACTGATTTGAACAGAAACTTCTCTGAAGATAACAGATGAGTGGCCAACAAACACATGAAAAAATGTTCATTGTCCTTAATCATCAGAGAAATGTGAATCAAAACCACTCTAAGATACCACCTAACCCTAATAAGATTAGCCCACATCACAAAGTCCCAAAACACCAGATGCTGGCATGGATGTGGAGAGAAGGGAACACTTCTATACTGCTGGTAGGATTGCAAACCATTATAGCCCTTTTGCAGAGAAGTATGGAGAATCCTCAATGATCTGAAAGTAGACCTTTCATTTGACCCTACAGTCCCATTGCTGGGTATCTACCAAGAAGAACAAAAATCATTTTACTACAAAGACATTTGCACTAGAATGTTTAATGGACCTCAACTCATAATTGATAACTCATGGAATTATGGGTTTCCCATCAACCCATGAATGGATCAATTAACTGTGGTATATGTACACGGTGAAATGTTCAGCCCTTAAAAAAAAAATGGAGACTTTACATCTTTTATATTTACCTGGATGGAGATGAAATACATTCTTCTTAGTAAAGTATCACAAGAATGGAAAACTAAATATCCAGTGTACTCCATACTAATATGAAGTCAATATATAAACAATTACATGTTCATAAGAACAGTAAAACACTAATATAGTCCAGTTCAGGGCAAGGGGGAGGGGGAGAGCAATGGCAGAAAGGGGGGGCGTGAGGTGGGATCTCACCCAATGTGCACATTGTGGGGGTGTCTAACACACACACACACACACACACACACACCCCGTGAGGCGCTCTTCTACAAATGGAACTTCATCCTGGAAGTGAGAACAATGTAACCAAAATATTTTACCCTCATATTAATTTGAATAAAGTTTAAAAAATAAAGTAAAAATAGAAAAATTAGCTAGGCATTGTGGCAGGCACCTGTAGTCCCAGCTACTCAGCAGGCTGAGGCAGAGGGATCACTTGAGCCCGGGAGTCTTAGGTTGCCGTGAGCTGGGCTCACACCATGGTACTGTAGGTACGGTAACAGAGAGAAACTCTGTCTCAAAAATAAGATGGCATTGAAAAACTAATAAAATGCAAACAGGGCAGTAATTCCTGTCATAAGAAGGTTGATTGAGAATTGGAATGTTTAGCTAAGGGGAACAAGTCCTAATGGCTGTCTTCGAATATTTAAAGAGCCACAGTCTTGAAGAATGGGAATAGTGTTTTATAGTGTTGTACTCCGAGAGTACAGCCAGAGTAACAGTACTTGAATGTTTGTGGTTTTAAAAAGTAGAAGTGTGCATGCTATTTGTTACTATGAAAAATAACAATCACAAATTTTAAAGTAATTTATTTAGGGTCTTTTATATTCTCCACACAGTGCCTTCATTCCTTGATTATGTCAAAATTTACTATTGTTATATATCATTATATTGTTCCATTGGCTTACTGATGGTTTTAATCAAAATTTTGATTGAATTCACTTAATTCATCTAGAGAGATTCATTTGCTATAGAAATCTGTTAGTTTTTATGTCTGTTAAATTTTCAAATAAAGTAACTGTGAAAAAATGTTTTTAAATTAGAAATTTTAGGCCAGGTATGGTGGTAGCTCACGCCTGTAATTGTAGCACTCTGGGTGGCCCAAGCAGTTGGATTGCTTGAGCTCAAGAGTTCAAGACCAACCTAAACAAGAAAGAGACCCCCATCTCTACTAAAAATAGAAAAATTAGCCAGGCGTTGTGGCAGGTGCCTATAGTCCCAGCTACTCAGGAGGCTGAGGCAGTATCACTTGAGCCCAGGAGGCTGAGGTTGCTGTGAACTATGATTCTATGGCGTTCTACCCAGAATGACAAAGTGAGAGTCTTATCTCAAAAAAAAAATTAGAAACTTTAAGTTTCTTTAGCTCCAAAGACATTCTCATTTAAAACCTTACTTCTTTTGAACAAAAATGGGGGGATATTTTTAGTCATTATACTTTTTTTAGTATTATAAAACTGGTAAATTAAGGATCAGAGTTTCCAATTTTCTTTAATTATCTGTAACATTTCTAGCTTATTTTAAATACTTTTTTGCTTTTTCAGTATAGGAAAATAAATATAAAGCAGATTAGGCTTAAAGAGAATTCAGAGGTATTTAATTTTTTTTTTTTTTTTTGGCAGTTTTTGGCTGGGGCCAGGGCTGGGTATGAACCTGCCACCTCCGGTATATGGGGCTGGCGCCCTACTCCTTGAGCCACAGGCACCGCCCCAGAGGTATTTAAATACTTATGTATAGGTGGTGCCTGTGGCTCAAAGAGTAGGGTGCTGGCCCCAGATACCAGAGGTGGCGGGTTCAAACCTGGCCCCAGCCAAAAACTGCAAAAAATAAATAAAAAAACACTTATGTGTAGTTGTATATTAGAGCCACTACAAATTCCTTCCGAAATAGTTTTGGATCTAAAAATTGTATAGAAAGCTTCCAAATACTTATCTTTATTGAAAGAATTTGCCTCCACGTGTTCTGAGAGTTCAGGTGACACTAGTGCAGCCTGTACCTGACAGGAACATATGGTTAATGTAGGCAGTGGGTGGTTTGGGGACTTGGATATAATCCACTCATCTGCAAATTGTTCTTATTACCTTTCATTCATAAATTTTTTCCCTTACTCTTCCGATTTTAGTTACTCTTTCACGTATAAATGTTTTTATTCACACGAGGATACGAATTGTCGATTTTTTGCTTTAGTGCTTGGGGGGCCTGGACATTTCTGAGTGGCTGCTCTCTGCCTGGTGCCAGGCTTGTCTCCTAACTGTATGATCTTGTTGAGGCTTTGTAAACAGGTTAGGTAAAGGCTAATGCTAATCGTAAAACGTTAATGTTGTTTATTTAACTTTAGCATACTGTAGTTATCGGCACAATTATGACGCCGTTTATGTTGTACAAGCATCTTTTCTTGCAGTTAAGAAAAGCAAGCTAGTTTATCTCAGTGGTATAAACTTAAAAAATAGAGGCCAGTGTGATAGAGTCACTCGGTACAAACTCTAAAAAATCCATATCATATGTAATTTGGCTACTTGGTAAAATCCTTAATTGCTTAAATTGTTTGTTAGAAATAATGGGAAAAGAAAGATTATTTAACTTTGTTTTTACCTTTACTTTAAAAAATAAATAATTTTGAATTGAAACTTTTTGCAATACCTTGGAGATTTTATACTATAGCAATCTAAGCATAATGTGAAAAACAAAAAGACTTTGTATTAAAATTTTTTCGTTTTCCTGAACCTAGGATGGCAAGAGGATGTTTGGCACCTATTTTCGTGTTGGTTTTTATGGAACCAAGTTTGGGGATTTGGATGAACAAGAATTTGTTTACAAGGAGCCTGCAATAACCAAACTTGCAGAGATATCTCACAGACTGGAGGTGAATGCTGGAGCAGTTCATAAAATGTCATCTTTAATTCGTGTTCTCTGTGATGGTTAGACTTTCAGATCTAGAACTAATCATTTAAGAAGCCTGACCTTGCCCAATAAACTGTTCCCTTTCAGTATAAGAATTTTTGATAGTTACAATAATCATCTTTCAAATCCTTTAAATTTTCCCCAGCAATAGTAAAACAGTATTTTTCACTTTATTTTTTGAGGTTCTATTTTCTTACGTATTTTAGAAACCCAAAACGTCCCTCAGAATTACTGTGATTAATGGAGAAATACATACTGCTATCCACATTTCATAGAAAAAGTCATACAGAATAAAGTAGGACACACAGATTAAGTAGCAGCTTATAGGGGAACTACAACTAAAATATTTCTGACCAAAACATTAGATCTTTTAGCTTACCTGAACCCCAGTGAGATGTCGTTAGAACTTACAAGCCTAAAATCGCATCTCGAAAACAATTTTCTTGATCTTTATCCTTTCTTAATTTTCATCACGGATGATCGATTTTTCTATTCCTCAGGCTACCCAGTCTTTTCTGTCGTAGTTACTCTTTCCAACTTTTCTCTCTCCCCTTTACTGAAAGTGTGGTCCACAGCGTTCCTCCCCTGGGAGAGTGTTTGAAACGCAGACGCTCAGACCTCACCCCAGACTTTTGAATCAATTTCTGCATTTGAACAAGACGCCAGATGATATGTGTTCACATACGTGAGCAGTAGGCTTGTTTTCATTCTCAGCTAAGGTTATTAGTATCTTGAATGTTACAGTCTTACTGTAGACTTTGCTGGGCTCAACTTTTTTTTTGTTTTTTTTTGGACAGAGTCTCACTATGTCACCCTCAGTAGAGTGCAGTGGCGTCACAGCTCACAGCAACCTCCAACTCGGGCTTACGCGATTCTTTTGCCTCAGCCTCCCAAGTAACTGGGACTTCACCTCCACAAAGCCCGGCTATTTTGTGTTATTGATGTAGTTTTCACTGCCGTTTGGCAGACCTGGGCCGGGTTTGACCCCGCCAGCCCCAGTGTGTGTGACTGACACCCTAGCTGCTGAGCTACGGGGGCCGAGCCTGCTGGGCTCAATTTTAACAAATTGCCTCAAACTGCGACTTTTTATTTTTCAAGAGGCTGAGTTTAAGTCTCGGGAAATATTAACTGAAACTATATTTCTTAATCATAAACAACTATCTTTGCTGCATGAGTAGGAGTTTCTCCTTTGAAGATGCAGATTTGATTTTTGTTTTTGAATAGCTCCATCTACTGTCCATGCGGCTGCCCAGTCTGATAGGAAATAGTCACTACATTCTTTTGTTTTGTGGTGTTTTTTCTTTTCTTTTTCTGAAAGTCTGTATTTCCAGAAATTTAAACAATTTAAAACAAATTTGTTACCAGTATGATGTAAGCATTCCTAATTCTATATGAAATCAGTACATTCTTCCCCGTAAATGCATTAATGTATACATTAATCTGTGTTTATGATTTAATTTAAAAAATATATATTTGTTGTGCAGAGAGGCAAAGCATCTCAGTCATTACATTCTTGACCCAAAGTTGCCTTTTCAAAATCTAAACCTACACAAAACTTTAACAAGTGAATATACTAAAAAAAATTCTGGAATTAAAATTCAAAAAAGTGAATGTTTATTCATTGACCTGTGGTCTGGTAAGAAACCAAGCCACATCGTATTTAAGAAATGTAAGGTCCTTTACATCAAAGAAAATGAGTTTTTTTGGTCTTTGCTTTCTATTATCTTTGTTTCTCTGGAGAACCTCTTATGGAATATTGTGTTTTTACAAGAGAAAATTTCTCTTTTCTTCTATATTGTATTACAGTGCATAGATGAGAATAATTTCAAATAAATATAGACTGAGACCATGATGTTTTATAAGCCAGCATAGTTTTTGTAAGCCTACATAATTCTTATTTTGTAATTAATGACACGGTTGTACAAAATTTACTAAATTCCCTAATTTTGCTCGGGCATCTCCCTCAATGGCTTCTCTGTTTTCTCATCCTGTTAACTTCATGTAAAGGATTTCTGTTTGTTTATTATAGGGATTTTATGGAGAAAGATTTGGCGAGGATGTGGTTGAAGTAATCAAGGACTCGAATCCCGTAGACAAATGCAAGTTGGACCCTAACAAGGTATGGTTGGTTACGCCGTGACGACGTAGGTGTGTCCTTGAGAGCCCAATTTGCAGTTTTGTTTGCGAAAGACTAATAACTAAACAGTGAAGAAATGACGAACTCTTCCCTTTCCCAGGCATATATTCAGATTACCTACGTGGAGCCCTACTTTGACACATACGAGATGAAGGACAGAATCACGTATTTTGACAAAAACTATAATCTTCGACGCTTCATGTACTGTACCCCCTTCACTTTAGACGGCCGTGCCCACGGGGAGCTTCATGAACAATTCAAAAGGAAGACCATCCTGACCACTTCTCATGCCTTTCCTTATATTAAAACAAGGGTCAATGTCACTCATAAAGAGGAGGTAGGTCCAGAAGTGGGGAAATAGAATTAGTTAAACAAATAGAAGCGAACCGTGTAACAACAGTGTAGATGTACAGGAGATGCGTGCCGTCTTCACAGCACGATGTGCTCGAACTTTACCCATCTTCACATTGTTTGATTTCTAAGTTCCTCATTCGCTCTCAGATTTTGCTTTAAAGTGTTTTTTTTTTCTTTTGGGGATCCAAGTTTGGGATTTTATTATTACGTAAAAGTTTATAATTGATCTCCTCTTTTTTCCTAATTTTAATTGGTTATATGTAAAGTTTATTAAATAGTTTTCCGTCAGTGCACCCACTTGATAGATGCTGTTTCACTCAGATCATCTTAACACCAATTGAAGTTGCCATTGAAGACATGCAGAAAAAGACACAGGAGCTGGCGTTTGCGACACATCAGGACCCAGCAGATCCCAAAATGCTTCAGATGGTCCTCCAGGGATCTGTAGGCACGACGGTTAACCAGGTTCGCGCTTTCTGCTGGCTCTGTGTGACGTAACTTATAAATGGGATTTGGAATAATTTCCTTATTTTATTTTACAAAGACCACAAGTAAGTGCTAAATCCAGTGAAAAGTCTATGTGTTAGAAGTGGTTGCAAAAGACCCTGAAAATATAAATGGAAGAAAACGGGTAAGCAGAAGTTTAGGCCGGGTACAGTGGCTCGTGCCTGTAACCCCAGCTCTCTAAAAGGACAAGTGTGGGCAGGAGGTGGATTCCTTGAGCTCCGGAGTTCAAGACCAGCCTGAACAATAGCAAGACCCCCATCTCTGCTAAAAAACAGAAAGATTAGCCAGGCGTTATGGTGGGCACTGGGGAAGCTGAGGCAGGAGGATCAGTTGAGCCCAAGAGTTTAGGTTGCTATGAGCTAGGTTATCTCAAAAAAAAACCCAAAAAAACAAAAAAACCCACAGCCTATGGTTTTCTACCTATGTATTCATATGCATCTTATTAAGAAAGAATTGGCTCTCTTAAAGAAAAGCATAAAAGAAATGTCAACAGCATCATTTTTATCTTGTGTTTTAGCTCCGTTTAGTGCGTGTAACTGAGTAGATACTCAATTTTAATTAACAAAATATTTGTGTGCAGTGGAGTATTTTTAAACCAATTAGAACAGTTCCTTCTTGTAAGTAAATTAAAAGCTATTCTTAGACTAAAAAAAAAAAAAACAAGAATTGACTCTCTTAAAATAGCTTTTTCTGTAAAAGTGTACATGGAATGAGTCTGATCTAACAAGGAAGGGCTCTTCTCACCCTCTGCTATCTTAATTCTCCCGAATGTTACCTTCTGCAGCTCGCCTTCACAGCAAGTGGTGAGGATTAAATAACTGATTTTGAAAATTTTAATAATATGCGAATATAAGATATCATTTCCTTATTATATACAGATCAGATGCCATCTCCATTATCCCCTGGTAGTTGGTTCATTCAGGTTCTCTTGTTGATGATTTGGGCATGGCCCCAATCTTTTTTTTTTTTTTGAGACAGAGTCTCACCATGTCACCCTCAGTAGAATGCTGTGTTGTCACAGCTCACAGCAACCTCAAACTCTTGGGCTTAAGCGATTCTTTTGCCTCAGCCTCCCAAGTAGCTGGGACTACAGGCACCCACCACGAAGCCTGGCTATTTTTTGTTACAGTTGTCATTGTTGTTTAACTGGCCCGGGCTACGTTTGAATCCGCCACCCTCAGCATATGTGGCTGGCACCATAACCACTGTGCTACAGCACTGAGCCCATGGCCCCAATCTTAAGGAACATTCCATGGCAAGGGAAAAATCCAGAAGTAAGATTTCTGTGATATGGCTTAACTGTTGATTTTAAATTAAAGGAAAAAAGCCCCAAAGTGCCTTACCCTAACGGATGTAAACACCTTAAAACCTCTACCCCCAGGAACATAATGATTGTAATATTTTACCTCCAAATGATGGTGCTTACTCATAGAACATTATCTTCTTTAACTCACAGCCTTGGGAACACTGGGAACACCTTAGGAATACTGAGGGAAGCTGTCTTAGCAAAATCGAGTCGGGTAGCTCGTGGGTCAGCGGATGTGGTAGCCTGACATTTACAAACTATGGGACAAACCGCACTACTGAACACAGTGGTCAGTCCTTGAGCTCCTATTCTGTTTTTTTGAAGAATGAAATAATAGGAGGTTCATTTAATTTAGTTGGCAAGAGTATAAGAACATAGGTATGAAATTAGGAAAAATCTAAAACAGTCTGTCCCTGAAGAGGTGGGGGTTTTGTTTGTTTTTGAGACGGAGTCTCACTCAGTCACCCTGGGTAGAGTGCCGTGGCACATCATAGCTCACAGCAACCTCAGAGTCTTGCCTCAGCCTCCCAAGTAGCTGCCCGCCACAACACCTGGCTAGTTTTTCTATTTTTTATTAGAGACAGTCTCACTCTTTGTCAGCCGGTCTTGAACTCCTCTTGTTCTCAGGCAATCCACCCACCTCAGCCTCCCAGAGTGCGGGGATTATAGGCATGAGCCACCACTCCCAGCCTGATGAGTTTTAGTATAGACATAGACATCTATGTATCTCAGCACTAGGAAAAATCATAAATTCTATCTCTGTGATTTTAGAGAAGATAGAAACATACTCCTTATTTTATTTTCTTGTTTTACAGGGGCCTTTGGAAGTTGCCCAGGTTTTCTTATCTGAAATACCTAGTGACCCAAAGCTCTTCAGACATCATAATAAACTACGACTCTGCTTTAAGGATTTTACTAAAAGGTATTTAAGGCTTCCTATATAAAGATCTTCAAATTGACAATGTCCAACAGCATGGTAAGACAAGTCCAGTGAATAAACAAAGTCAAGTCAGAGAAGGGAAAGGCATGTGGGGTGAAGTGGGGAAGGTCTAACAGAACTGCTGAAAAGAGAGACATTACAAATGGTTCACAGTGAGAAATAATCGGTGTCCTTTAATAGTATATGCTGATCTCCCCCGGCCCTCACTCCGCCATACTCTATAATGCCGTATTTTTAATTTTAAAGATTGGAAAAGCCAAGGCTCAGGAAATTTTACTAACCTGAAACTATTATTAGACTACTTAACTTGAAAGCTGTTATCTGTTGTGAACCTTCAATATTCAAGTTTTGGTTTCCCTTCCCCCTGGGAATTTTCAAGCCGTAAACTTAGAAGCAAAAAATTATATTCATATCTGACCTTATTATTTGTGTCCTTTTTCAGGTCACTTTTTCCTAACCCACAAAGTAAGGGTAGTAATATCCAGCTCCCCTAGGGAGGCTGTACAGACCAGGTTAGGCACTACCTGGGTTCGTCGGGAGTCACTGAGATCACCCCCAGTTTCAGTGACTTGCAGGAGGACTCATAGGACTCAGCTTATCGTCACACTGGTGGCTATGTTTTATTACACTGAAAGAATACAGGGTCTCTTGATTCAGATTAAGTATTAAAAAAAAAAATCAGCAAAGGGAAAAGTGCATGGGGTGAAGTTGAGAGGAAACTGGGGGCAGGCTTCAGAGTCCCTGGTAATGGACTCACATGGGACTTGCCTAGCTCTTCTGGCAAAGAGCTGTGAAATGTCTTCCAGGGAACCCGAAGAGACTTGGGGCAAAGGTCCATAGTGGGACCTGGTCCCATAAGCATCCTCTCCCTGACTTGTTACCAAAATTCCATACTCTCAGAAGGAAGGCAGATATTCAGCATAAACCATGGTGTCCATATAAACAGTTTAGGTACAGTTGATGAGGAACCTCCCCAGATCCAAATTTCCGTACTCTAAGCAAAGGCCAACCTTGGTCTTTCTAAGGATAGCAGTCTCAGGAGTCCAGTCTTAACTCTTTTCTGTACTGATGGAAACATTTATAGGCTAATACTTGGCACATAACATAGAGATGTTCAGTTTTTAAAACAATAGGGAAAACAGTCATCTGTTAGCTTGATACTTGATTTCTGCTTTACCTACACTGTGATTACAAAAGAGAGAATGATTAGTTCAACTTGGTGATGTAAGGGAAGATTCCACACAGTTGACTTGAATCTTGGAAAATGAATTTTAGTTTTCAGGCAGAAATGAGGGCGAGGAGTATACCAAGTTAGAAATGAATGACAAAAGGGATGTAGTCTGGTGAAGTTGGAATCATGAAATCTTAAAGACCAGTAGTTAAGGAAAAGACTAGTAAATTAGACTGGAGTCAGATCGAAGGGGTCTTGTGTACTGTTAAGTGACTTGATTGTCACCTCGTAAAGCACCTTTAGAATCCTAGAACCCAGGCTTTGACTCTCTGTTATGGTTTCTCTTGTCAAATCACTCACTGAATAGGCTTATTAGGGCAAAAATAATTTTACTTTATATTAGTTTTGCCATCAGAAAAATAAGAGGTAATAGTACTTGTTTAAGTAGTTTGAGATGGTATCTCCTTTGTTCTCATTGTGATAGCAATCACAAACTGCTGTCAATTTCTTCTAACTGAAGAGGGTAAACATCTAAAAGAAAAACTTCATTGAAAGTCTGAGAGTTTATAATATAGTCACTGGGAAAGATAGAAGATTTGTTTTAGGAAACATGGCTACTAATACATAGAACAGGTGAACTATGGTAGTAGAAGAAAACTGATTCTTACTCATAGAATTGACTGATTTGTGGATTAATTTTATTATTTGGGAGGTTTGAAAAAACAACAGCAAAACGAACTTGCTATCTTTGTGAACCAGGTGGTCGTGGAACAATGCATACTTCTTTAGGTCATAGACATTTAATTATAGACAGTCAGATACTTCTTTTCTTACTATTGTGAAATATTTACCATGAATACAATTCTCAACAAATGTCTTCCTCTTTGTATATATTTACCGTAGGGTAACAAATGTCTATACTCAACAGGGCTCAATAGGTGTTACTGTCTGCAGAGGAGCTTTTTTCCTTTTAAACTATGAAAAAGCTAAAAACAAAAAAATACTATGGGCGGCGCCTGTGGTTCAAAGGAGTGGGGCGCTGGCCCCATATGCTGGAGGTGGTGGGTTCAAACCCAGCCCCGGCAAAAAAAAGACCACTACATAAGTGGATCATTATGAAAGTTTTGAGATACACAACAATCAAAAAACATAAAATCCACATGGATGAAAATAAAGGAAGCCTCCCAGCTTACTGATAAGCCAAAGAAGTTGAAACTTGCACAGGTGAATCAGGAAGGACGCTGCCAATTGTGTTTCTTGGAAGTGAAATAATGGACCATAACATAGTCTATCTCAAAACTCTAATAGTGACCCATGTAATATAAACCTTACAAAACAGGTATAGCCAATTCTGTATTTTTTATTTTGCCTATTACTTCTCATTTTTTATACCAGCACACATGTATATTTTACCATAGTTCAGTCATACGTATAATCTCAAATTCTCATTTTTCAATTAAAGCTAAAACTATTACTTTGTTATACCATATCCTCAATATACTATACTTTTCTGTATTCCTTTTGAGTTTGAGTGTGGTGTAGTTTGTATCACAGTAGATATTTTTTCTTTTGTTGAATTAAAATTTCCATCATGATGTTACCAAGGCAAAGTACATGAACATTTTCATTGCTTCATAATATGTCACACAGTCCAGAATGTCCCCAAGTATAATTGACACTTGAACACTGCAGCAGTTAGGGGCACCAGCCCACTGTACAATTGAAAATCCATTTGTAACTTTTGACTCCTTAAAACTTAACTGCTAATAGCCTATTATTGACTGAAAATCTTGCCAACACAGACAATAACGCATATTTTGTCTGTTATATATATTACATACTGTATTCCTTACTAAGGTAAGCTAGAGAAAAGAAAATGGTTATTAAGAAAATCATAAGGAGGCTCAGCGCCCATAGCTCAGTGAGTAGGGAGCCAGCGACACACAGCAAGGCTGGAGGGTTCGAGCCCAGCCCGGGCCTGCTAAACAACAATGACAACTGCAACCAAAAAATAGCCAGGCATTGTGGTGGGCACCTGTAGTCTCAGCTACTTGGGAGGCTGAGGCAAGAGAATCGCTTAAGCCCAAGAGTTTGAGGTTGCTGTGAGCTGTGATGCCATGGTATGCTACAGAGGGTGACAAAGTGAGATTCTGTCTCAATAAAAAAAAAAAAGAAAAGGAAATGTATTTACTCTTCATTACTTGATTCATTAAGTAGAAATGGATTATCATAAAGGTCTTCATCCCTGCCATCTTCCTGGTGAGTAGGATAAGAAGGAGGAAGAGCCTTGGTCTTGTTCTCACAGGGGTGGAATGATCCTTCTAGACTTTCACGATGTTCTCTGTAGGGTTCTCTTTCGTGACGTTGGCAATCCTTTCCATAGTGCACCATGTATAATGAGTCTTAAAGGTCCTTATAACCCCCTGATCTACAGGGTGAATGAGATGCTGTGTTGGGGAAAGTAGACCACACACTCTATAGTGTCTCTGCTGTAGAACTCTTGGGGTTCTAGATGGCCAGGGGCATTGTCCAAAGTCAAAACGACTTTGAAAGGCGGTGCCTTACTGGCGTGGGTAAGTCCTGACTTCAGGGACAAAACATCAGTGAAACCAACCCAGAGAAAGGATTCTTGTCCAAGAAGGCCTGGACAAGAATCTTTTCCCTTCAAGGGTTGGGGTCTAGCTGCTTTATAGATAAGAACAGTTTTGATCATAAACCCAATTGTATTTGTAGAAAACAGTAGAATTAGCCTATTCCTTCCTGCCTGAAGTCCTGGTGTTCACTTTATGCAGTGATGGTCTATTACTGCATCTTTGCATTTGTTTACATTTCTCTGAACTGCAAATACTGCCATACAGCATCTCTTGACTTCCTCTCTGCACTGACCACCTCCTTAAGTTGACCTAATTTCCATAGACTGATCATGTACCACATGTACTCAGTGGAAGATGGACCTCCATATACTGACCACGTCTGTAAGTTGTATCTTGACCACTTGGTCTGTGACACACAATTTACCCTCTATAACTTGACCAGTTGAGTCTACTCCACACCAAAGGTCAGAAGGTTCACGTGAGCTTTGCCCCTTACTTGTATTACTTTTTCTATAGCACAAGCTCCTTTTTCATGTTTCATTATTACCACCTGTTGGATTAGTTCTAGTGTGCTATTGTTTATCACGTGTTGCGGAAGATTTTTCAACATGAAGGACTGGTCTGAATTGTCAGTATATCCTACAGTTACTGAAAAATGTTACAGTTAATCAAGACATGATGGCCCAAAGGAAAGAACTCAAAGAGCTGACGTTGAAGGAAAAGGTTGATCTTCTACATTTTCTGGAAAGCAGCAGCCAAAGACAGTAGAACATTTCGGTGTTAGCAACATACAAAAATGTAAACATGAGCACTTGGAGAAACATGGGAAGAAAAGCATAGGCCCATAGTGGAAAAGGAGGAAAGCTTGGCTCAATGAAGTCAGTGAAGCCACATTAAGCTGCTTCAAACAAATAGGGCAGTTAACACCCAAATCTCTGGGCTAAAGATCCAAGAAATTGCTAAAATATTTGCACAGGAATTTGAGCTGGCAAATTTCCAAGCATCGAGTGATTGGCTCAAGAAATTTAAACTGTGACACAAGGTCTCCCAGAAAGTCTTACATGGTGAATCCAGTGAAGTTCCAGAAGTTGTGGAGAGTTCATCAAAAAGGTCCCAGAGTTAGCCAGAGGCTTCAAAGATGATGACATTTTTAACAGTGATAAATATGGACTCTTTTCAAGACAATGCCTGACAGAAGCCTCATCATGAAGGGTGAC